ATGTCGTGAGCCCATTTGTCGTGAGCCCATTTGTCTTGAGCCCTTATGTCGGGAGCCAATATGTCGGGAGCCGCTTTGTCGGGAGCCAATATGTCCTGAGCCTATTTGTCAGGGGTTAATATGTCGGGAGTCCATTTGTCGGGAGCCTAAATATCGGGAGCCCATTTGTCGGGAGCCTATATGTCGCAAGTCAATATGACGGGAGCCCGTTTGACGGGAGCCAATAAGTCGGGGCCCTTTTGACGGGGCTATTTTGACTGGGTCGTTTTGACGGGGGTCGATTTGACGGGGTCAAATTAACGGGGCCGTTTTGACGGGGCCGATTTGTCCCGGGTCGTTTTGACAGCAGGGAACCAAATTTGATACAAGGCAGAGAATTAGATATTTTACTTATATGTAAAGGTTCGTTTATCTATCTGAAACAGTACTCAAGCTATAGGCTTTTGAAAAATTGAAAGTAGAATAAGTTCCATTTACGGTTATCGGAAATCGCAGAGTAGTTGATATAGAACTACAAATTCGATATAATACTTATATATGAAATTTCATCAACCTAGCTGTAACGGTACACAAGTTATCGTGTTTACAGACATACATACATACACACACACACAGACATACGGACAGAATTGCAAAGTCCAGTTTTTCCGACTCAATTACGCATAAAACGCCAAAAATTTGATATATCTGGGTTTATAATTTTGGCCCGATTAAAATAACTCCTCTATTCTCCGGATGTGATGATGGACTGAGTTATAAAATGGTGAAAACTGTCAAAATTACATGTGTTTTTTGTGCATTACATTGTGATTACAATACTTTCTCTATATTCTTTATAATAGAAAGTAAAAAATATTGGCAATAATGCAGTACAGAAAAGAATTAATGAAATAGCTGAAGACTGGAAACTCATAGTGTATTTTAAAACATCAACGTTCTTAATACAGCTTAATTGAGCAAGAATTACCATTTGCAACTAACTTGAGTAATCGTTATTATATGCTTTGGAAGCTTTTTTTCAAATAAAAGAGAATCATTTTGTCAGTTGCTGTCTAACAGGTTTTCTGGCGTATGTAAAAAAAAAAAAAAGAAATATAGCGTTGCGAAATGTATGTGCTGTTTACTGCGTCATACATCGATTACACACAGTTTCCATAATAAATTGAATCAGGCAAGTCCAACGGCGCCATGGCAGGGTGCAATCCCCCCCCTCCCCCCGGGCTATGGCGTGAGCTATATGGCACATACGTCCGTTTTTAACTTTGCAAAAGACTTTGCATAAGATTGGGTTTTAGAGTCGTTCACTAAACATAATCAGGCGTGTCCGCCGACGCTCCGGTAGGGTGCAATTTGGCGCCCCGGGTTATCCCGTGAGCGCTATAGCACCTATATTCTTTTGAAACATTGCGATAGACTATGAATAAAATGGGGCGTTTAGTCGTTCACTAAATTGAATCAAGCGCGATCGCCTTCGCCCTACAGTGTGCAATTTGGCACCCCGGACTATCCCGGTAACGCTATGGTGCATACGTCCGTTTTAAAGTGTGTGTTAGAATATGAATTAGAAGTAGTATTATAGTCGTCCACTAAACTGAATCCGGCGCGTCCGACCGCAGATTGCGATTTGCCCCGAGCACGGTTTGGCACCCAGAGTTCAAGAGCGGCTATGTTGGCATATAAGAAAAAAGTCGGATGCTGTTCCACACCTTTCATCCGAGTTCCATGAAAATTTGGGGAGTTGATGATTTCCAGAGCGGCTATCTAGGCACTTTGTTTCCGTTAATCGGGCGTCCTGCATAGCATTAAGGGGTACTACTATATTTAGCGTTAAAATTTCAACAGGCTATTGTGTGACCCGAAGCTCCACGGGCTCCCTTGTGACAATGGATAAGATGGGGCGTTATAGTCGTTCACTAAATTGAATCAGGCGTGTTCGCCGGCGTCCCGGCTTGGTGCGATTTAGCGCCCTGCTCTATCCCATGGGAACTATGGCGCCTAGTTTTAAGGAGCACCGTACAATATTGACAAGGCGGCACACGACTTTCGATGATTAAACCGAGTCAGCGGCCGTACTGGGCGCCCCTGTGCTAGTGTAATCGGGGGCTTAAGTGAGCGCCGCTCTAGGCCCTGACACCTAGGCTGTCAATGAAGTGTACTCTAACTCACTATTACAAAGAGTGATTAACGTACACTCAGGGCTTTCATACACCACGCACTGGGGCGTGCTAGGAATATAGTATTGGTAACGCATTAAAATATTTCGTCATACTTTCTTCTAACCCCACCGCAACGCGCGGTGACGGGCACGCTAGTATCTATAATCACATATATAATGTTTAATTCTGTATGTTGTGGTGACGGACCGTGGATTGCAAAGTCTAATGTGCTCATCGTCTAAATCAGGGGTCTCCAAACTACGGCCCGCAGCTATCTTTTTATCCACTGAATAAATGTTTGTTATAGGTGGCTGATAGACTTGGCCCAGAAAATTCAAAGCAATTTGATATTGTCTCCTTGGGTGCAAATACCATTGCCCACCGTGTTGTAGACATTGGTGAAAACATCGTGACTCAAATAGCGAAAAAATGCAAGCAGGTTTCCTCATTTTTCAATTGCAATCGACGAGTCGCGGACAGCTGTTCCTCCTCTCAACTTCTTGTGTTTCATAGAGGTGTGGATGAAGACATGAACATAACACAAGAGCTGGCTTCCCTACATATAATGTATGGCACTGTTACCGGAGAGGATATCTAACCATAGATAGTTCAGAGACATGCTGAAAGATTCAAAGACAGAATAGCAAGATTTACCATATTTCACAGCAGTAAGATGTCTAATTTGCGAGAAAGTTCTGAGCAGAGTATTTAAGTTAAGAAACGAAATAAGTGACTTCCTGAAAAGTAAAGGCAAGCCACAGCCACTAATGTCTGATAAAGAGGGCATAGCAATTGGCTCTGCTGCAGACATAACTAGTCATTTAAATTTCCTGAACCTAAAACAACTTGACGCACTCTCAGCAGTGCAAGGTCTTTACAACTGCAGCAACCACTGAGTTCCCCGCGTCATTTGCATGCGAGATCATCAAAGACCTCCAGCTGCAGTTTCAGTAGCGGTTTTTTGACTTGGATACAAAGGCAGAAAAAGTGAGACTGTTTCAAAACCCATTTGAAGCAAATGTGGCCAGTTGCAAAGATGAACTGTAGCTGGAGGTCACTGAATTGCAAGCAAATGACTTCCTTAGAGACACGTTTAAAGAAGGGCGAGTGGGTTTTTGTAAGTTTTTGCCGAAGGAAGACTTTCCTAATATTGAAACTTTTGCATCAAATTACCTTTCAAATTTTGAAACAACATACCTGTGTAAACAAACATTTTCAAGAATGAAATACGTGAAGAATATTTTGAGAGCAAACTTGGACCTTGAGTATGTTGTTGGCCCCCGACAGTGTTTCTTTCAGACATTTTTCTTCGTGGGGGGGGGGGAATACTTTAAATTTGTATATATTTCTATATACATTATATTGCGTTGGGTAGGGGGCGGTAGACGTTCTTCGGGGGGGGGGGCGCCACCACCTCAAAGAGATGCCTGGAAGAAACTCTGGCCCCCGAACTGATATTTGATAGCCCGAGGGCTGCATTAACTAACATTTGATAGTTAATGCGGCCATCGGGCTGAAAAGTTTGGAGACCCCTGGTCTAAATTAATGATTTAAAAAATTAATATCGAAGGTGGTGTAAAACAATTTTCATTTTTCAAACTTATGGTAATAATTGTTGGCATGTCCATCAAACAAAATTTCTAATTATTTACATTTAGTTCTTTAGCTCTCCTTACGTCCCTTGATAAATTAGGAAAACACAATGACTTCCCTTTATATAAACCATTACATCGGGATGAACAAATGTACATTTTATTACTTTATTTTGGTGTTGGGAAAAGAAATTACATAATTAGCGTGGATTGATCAAGTGAAATGTGGTAGGTATTCTAAATTGTTGTTTCCAAGTTGGTACATATAAAAAATATTCACCGTGGCGAAGCACGGGTATGCAGCTAGTGTCATAATTATGCAACAGCAGACAAAAATGACACTCAGCTATCTGCACCTTAATGTTTTTTCCTAACTTTACTAAAAGCTTTGAGGATATTTTAAAAATGTGCAAACACAGAAGACTCCACAAGTACAAGAAAAATGATTTACAAAAGAAAAAGGAAATTTTAATTCATGGAGGGCTATTGGCAATAGATAATAGTGTTGGAATATAATAGAAACAACAAACAGTTCTATCAATAGTTATATCCGAAAGCTAAATTATTTGTTCATTTTTAAAGGCCTAAATATTTAAATCTAGATTCGAGTTTATCCGATAGACCAGCCATCTTTATTTTAATGCGAAGCCCTACACAAGATTTATAACATAAGTTCAAAGTTCATTTCGGCTTACAGTCTTACACGCTGTCCTTATATAAGAAGATGTGTTTAAATCTGTATAATATGTAAAAACACTTTGTAGGTATGTTAATAACAGGCTTACCCCCCCCCCCCCCCAAAGCACGTCCAACACCTTTCTCCCTTAAGAAAAATGTCGGAAAGAAACACTAGTTCTGAATACAATTCAAATTCCTGAAGTAAAAATGATTTGTTTTTCGTGACCTTTAAAATGTGTTGAGCCACATCAATGCAGCAATAAGATTTTTTTTAAAACGATAACCTTTTTTTTTATAAAAGAAAATTTATTTTGCTAAAAGATTGAAACATACCTTTTGAGGGAGGGTGTGATTCTTTAGCGTGCAAGCATCATGATAAATCAGATAGTGCGGAAGTGTATAACAAAAAAATCAGCCAAATTCAATGTCACTTCGAGATGGTTTACATATTATAAATACCATCAAAATGCAAGTGATCACCAAAAATTAATCTATAATATACCGCAGCCTCTTAACTATATTGAAAATAATTCTACATATTTCTTTTTAATCTTTTTTTAATTTCTTAAAACAGATACGTAAATGGCTGGATAAGAAAGCAGTATCTAAACAAACATTGCCTGGTTACTTAAAGCCATCCGGTTTAACAGATGAAAGAAAAATGAAACTTTATCATCAAATAAGGCAATGGCAACAACAAAACCCAGTAAGGTTTATCTACTATTAAAAACATGTACAATAAATTATATCCTAATATATATATATATATATATATATATATATATATATATATATATATATATATATATATATATATATATATATATATATATATATAAATATATATGTTACGGTCAAAGCCCGAAGTCGGCCAATGCGCGGATTGGCCGGCAAATGCGCGCATTGGCCAATATCGCCTCCCATAGGTCGGTCAAAGTTCGAAACTTTGCTTGATTTCGGCCTTTGGCCGGCCGATCCGCGGACTGGCCAGGGTGGACCGGCCAAAGTCTTAATTAGAAGATCATCTGGCTAGTGACGACCGGCCAAAGTCCGAATTAGAAAATCATGAGCAGATTTTGGGTTTTTTAATGCCGTAAGGATCATGAAATTTAGTCTTTATTGATTATTAATTAAAGTAAATGACAGAAACATTCAATATAGTCTCAATCAATCAATATTATAATTTGTTACAACAAGTTGAACTTTTATGGTATTTAGAATTACATAGCAGCTTGTTATTTTTACACTTGCAGCGATTTGTTGTGCACTTAGTTGTGCAATTACAGCGAGTGTAGCCTTCGCCCCCAGTCAATGATTGTGAAGATGCGATGGTTCGTAGTGATTTTTTTCTCAGTGCCAACTGACGACATTAAGAGCAGTTTTTCGTGAAGAATTGAAAACTCACTTCTAGCATACAGTTGTTTTAGAACACCATGTCCCGTTCCTAATTTTGTAGAAACCGCCCTCGACGCTCATGACCACTGCAATCAGGCTTCGGGGATCACAGCGACCTCTGTCAACATCGGGAACACGGATGCGTACATTGTCACCCACTTCACCATCTTTAAATTTTGTATTTGATGTTTTAAGCATCTTATCACCTTAAGTTTGCAAGCCAGTATGAGTTGCTGACCTGTGTTCCATGCTGTCTCTGTTTAATGTGACACAATCTGCAATTAATGTTCCCTCCGTATCCTTCGTCTGCTTCATTAGGTATTCCACAAATAGCATGGACATCGTTGCCACAGGATCCACAAGAATGAGCTGCACTACAATGTTTATCACAAACTTTACAGAATCTGTTGGCCACATTATTGTCATGCAACTGATCTAAACGTTCTGCCAAGGCAGCAGATGTGTTAGCTGAGGATGTTGTTGCATTTATGGCAACCTCCATTTCTTGTTCAATGTTCTCAAGATCTTCCTCAGTAACTATTTTATCGAGAGCCTCTCTTGGTAGATTTGAAGGCTGTCACATATGGAAACTAACATGGATTTTTATTTTTTTATTTTGACAGCCATCTGCTATGTCTGTCTCATGGTCTGACGGCCCTTTTGATCCATGTCGCCTTGCATATAGAATGCTATACAAACAAGAGCTAAACAATACGTTACTCACAATGTAACCGCACCCAGAATAATGAAAACGCGATCACAACTTAGTCTAGATAGAACATTGGCCAGGACATCCCGGCCAGTGCGCGCATTGGACGGCCAATGTACGAAATACGATCTTAGTGCTAAGTTCTTCGGGCTTTGGCCAAGAGAGCCGGCCAATCCGCACTTTGGCCGCACTTCGGGCTTTGACCGTAACATATACATATATATATCTGTCCGCAATATATATTTTTTGCAACGTGATCAGTATGTTCAGCGATATATGGAATACTTAAAGATACGGACTTTTGTTGAAAATAATATGATGGATGTTATAAATGTATAAACTAAATTTTGTTTAAAGAACACGTACGCTATGAAATGTATACACTTTTCTCGGCCTAAACTTATAAAATTTACTTTATTTATTTAGATTCAAGATCTAGATCTACGGAAAAACTAGACATAAGCCAGCCGTAGAGCTAGCTCTATCTAGATCTAGAATCTATGCCAATAATGAGTTTCTATTACTAAACTATTTCAGGCCTTAATTTTTTTTTAATAAATCTTTGTTTGTTTAGCTATGGAATTGGCTTTGCGATATAATTTCATTTGAAATAATAGGGCCTATTCGCGTAACTCAAGTTTCTAAGTAAAGTGCCGCGCTTATTCTCCACCTAAGCTGAAGTGCCTAAATAGCTAAGATGATAGTGAAATAGTTACCGGGTTCGAGACACATCACGTCAATGTTAATTTTTTTTTTTTTAAAGATGTGATTGATAAAATCGCCTATCGGGATTTGGTGGGACACAGGGCAGGTAGAGTTCACCTGTTTATCAGCATATGAAGGGATAGTTTGGTCAGACCCATGCTGTTTTTAAAAGACAAAAACAACATAACTACCATTGAACAGCCGGGTTTTTAACGAAATCATTTAAGTTTCTTAATCTCAATTCTCTTAATCAGTGTGTGCATTTAATATTGTGTTGCTTTGACTAAAAATGTACATAATTTGGATTTAATTTTTCTAATAAGTATTGGTAGTCTATGTTAGTTTAAATGTGTGGGATTTTTTTAGCCATTTAATTATTTCTTTGCTTTGTCACTAATATCATTTAACGTATTGTAAAGCACATAGCGTTTTGACCAATAACTTCTTTATTAAATATTTTTCTCAAACATTAAAATATATAGGCCTATAATTCACGTGTAACGGGTACCGACGGCTGGTATACGCAGACAGACACAAACACAATGCAAACACAAATGCAAACGCAAAAAACAAACCAAAACACAAACGCAATATGCATAACATAAACACAACTTAAATGCAAACATAAACGTATAGAGCTTTTTGTTTGCGTTTTTTCTTTGTGGTTGGGTTTGTGGTTGGGTTTGTGTTTTGCGTTTGTATTTGTTTTCGTTTGTTTTTTTTTTTGTTTGTGTTTTCTTTGTGTTTGTGTTAGTGTATGCATTTTTGTGGTTCGGTATGTGTTTTTGTTTCGTGTTAATGTTGCGTTTGTGTTATATTTGCCTTTTTTTTGTTTGGTTTTGGTTGGTTGTGTTTAGGGTTAATTCGAAAAGTAATATATTTCATAAACCCGAAAAATGCCGGGTAGCCTATATGCTGATTACGGTTTTTAAGAGAGGCCATTGCAGGTCCTGGCCTGGACGGCTAGTATATATATATATATATATATATATATATATATATATATATATATATATATATATATATATATATATATATATATATATATATATATATATATATATATATATATATATATTGCTTGGTCAGCGTATCAGTTAGTCAGCCGTATAGACACTATTTTAGTCAAAGCTGTAGAATGTGGTCTTTTTCTCATTAAAATCCAGGAATATTTACTAAAAAATTCGCAACTGAAAAAATGCGTAAACAGAAAATGCGCAGAAGAGAAAAGCAAAATTTTTAAAATGCATAAAAACGTATTAATAACAACAGTTTATGTAATAAAGTACTAAAAAGGGGAAAATAAATTATTTTATATATATATATATATATATATATATATATATATATATATATATATATATATATATATATATATATATAAATCAAATCATGAACTAGAAAAAAGTTATTGAATATCTTTACTAGAATAAAGGAACAACCCACGCTTATTAGTTCATATATATATATATATATATATATATTAAAGAAAACAATTTTTTTTAGTTCATTTTAACATAAAAGCTTGTCGATAAGTTTTACAAAACGACAAACTCTAATTACATAAATGGTTAGTATTTATTGAAAAACAAGTTACACAATAATAAAGTTAAAGTTTAACTTAGAAAAAAAAGTTCCTAGCAAGATAAATAAATACTGTGTCAATTTAAAAAAAAAAATCAAATGTTGTTCTGTTGTCACGTTCAGCAATTAAAGTTGTTAGCCTGTCGTTTATCTATAAATACTATTTCTTTTTTTTTCAGCATCTCCATGCTCTATTGCCTCCATTTCAGCTTCATCTCTTACTGATTTCTTTTTTAATGGTCTAAGCTAATAAACGACTACTAAAAGTGATCTTTTTCAACGATTAAACATTTTTACTATTTCTTATACATAGTAAAGAAGTATTGTAATCGTGCAAAAAATCGAATTAGAGATTTTCTCAAATCCCTACGTTTCACTGTTTTGTCTGTGAGAGTCTGTGTACTTTCTGTCTGGTTGTTAACAAAATAACTCGAGCGCCGTTATCATAAAATTGACGAAATTTCAAATGTAGTTAATATTTTGAATTTTTATATATGTATAAACTTTTCAGCTATTTCTAGTAACTGGAGGTGGCACTTGTCTTACTTTCGGTTCCTCAAAAACCTATAACAAGAACTGTTACAGTTAGCTGGACGAAGTTTTATATATATAAGTAATTGCTTTTACAGATATTTATCATTTGAGAAATGTCCGCTTGCCAGAAGTGTCACTTATTCTTTTTTAGTTTTCTTAAAAACGGATACATTTGATTGCCATTTCAGCCTTCTAGACGAAAATTAATATACAAGTGTAAGTAATAAAACAGATAGTGTTAGTTACCTCACAAGTTAAAGACAGTTACAAATACTATGGACGTTTCGACCCAAGGTCTTCGTCAGCACACAACAGTGTGGTTACAGTCATCTGTTAAACAGAAGAGACAAACAGTAACACAATTTTGGACAGCTCGACAGGGAAAACACGTCTTGTCTAAATGCCACGATATCCAAAAGAAAAGACGCGTGAAGAAGGTCGCTTGGATACAGTATTGAGGTGGGGTTTAACTTGTGAGGTAACCAACACTATCTATTACATTACTTTACTAGACTATACTACCCGTCATCCCTTGGATAACAGTGGGTTTCGGGGGTCATCCATTAAAAAATCACGTCTATCACTTATCGTCACAAAAAACCAGACCCCACATTAAAAAAGACGTCACACCTTTCCCTAACTTTTTGTTAACAACCAGACAGAAAGTACACAGACTCTCACAGACAAAACAGTGAAACGTAGGGATTTGAGAAAATCTCTAATTCGATTTTTTGCTAAAACATATTAAAAGGATCAATGTCAAATATCATTTTCGTTTA